ACTTTTTATATTTTTAAAAGTATTTAAGATTAATGAATAAAAATAATGACCAGTACGATTATTATGTTAGCATTTAGTAAATATTTGTTGAGAGAATCACATCCAAGGACCACTCAAAAAATTTATACAAAAATTAATAAGAAATGAATTGTTATTAAATAAAAAACATGGATTGGACTTGTTATTAATCTTTATCTATAAATAAGCTTTGAGTGGCTATTGGATGTGATTACCTACAGTGGTATCAGCTTCTTCTGTTAATTAGATTAACAGGATTAAGATTAGAAAACTAAAAATAAATAAAATTAAGATATTAAATTGAAATTAAGTAAAAAGTTAGGTTAGAAGATTAGATGTGTTTTTTTTAATGATCAAAGGAAAACTAACAAAATTAGGGAAAAAAAAACAAAACAGTGAAACACCAATAAAATTAACCTGGGTCGACTAGAAGATTAGATGTGTTATTCGACTTTAATTTATTAACAATCGACTCTCTAAACTCATTTTCAAGCTCACTGATTCTATATATGACGGTTAGATTAATGAAATGATTATTCAATTTCTTGAAGGAAAAATAATCCTTTGATCCTAATAGTTTCACTAGATTTTCAACTCAGTCCCTATATTTTTTTTTATTGCCGTGACTCAATTCTTACATCTTTATGGAAAAATCACAATTAAAGACTCAGGAAGAATATTAATAAGACTATCACAAAATTTTGAAATTGAATTTAAGGACCATGATCTTTTTTTCCATGACCTTTCTTTTTTTTGACATTAAAAGAATGATTTTATTAAATAAAACACCCCTCTCCCCGTTTGTACGAGTGGTGGTCTGGGCAAGTAGCAAGTAGTATATCCAACAAAGTGGCTGTCATTATATTCATTTTAGTCATTGTGAAATACTCCGTGTGTTTCCCTCCTCTTTCCTTTGATTGTAGGTAAGTAATGTTAGGTTTAGGGGTGTGCATGTAACCGATTGCCCGATATGCTTGCCCAGAATCCGGTAAAATTTTGCCCAACCTGGCCCTCGAAAAAGCTGCCTGACATGACTTGGCATGTTTGGGCAGGGCATGTTCGGCAGGGCCAGGCCACGAGCAGGGTAGCATGCCTTGCCCATTTGGCCTAGCTCGAGTATATTAATATATTTTTTAAAATTTTAAAGATTAATTATATTAATATTAAGACTTAAGGAAGACGAAAAGAGAAATTGGAAAGAAACTTTTTGAAAATTGAAGTCTACTCTGTGAAAATTTTTTTTTCATGATGCTCAAACTTTTGTAAAATTTCTTGTTTGTATGGATTATTGTAGCTATTATTTTGGATTGCATTATGGATAATTTCACTGTGTCAAGACTTATGGTAGTTTTATATTTTAAGTTAGATGTTGAATTATAGATTATTGAATATCATAGCTGTTATTTTTTATTTATGGTTTACATCTTTATGGATGTTATTTTGAGTGATGGGCTGGGTCATTGTTGTTGATTTATGGTAGTTTCATTTGAAGTTGATGGAAAGGGAGATTATCTGATGGGCAGGGCAACCCGAAGGTGCCCAACTTGCCCTACCCAACCTAAGCTAATAGGGTATTTTGCAGGCAGGACTGAGAAGCGGCTACATTTTTCAGCCCATGCATCCTTTAGGCAGGGCATCGGGCAAGGCCTTGTCTAGCTCAGCTCAGCCCATGTGCACCCCTAGTTAGGTCTAGGTGGTTGGTGTTTGTTATTATTTTGGTTTGAAGACTAGGCAAGTGAAAAAGAAATGGGGTAATTATGTTGGATTTTATGCAAATGGGCTTTGTAGTAATTAATTTTTTTAGGTGAGAATTGTATGTAGTTCTTCGTAAAGAAAATTTGGCAATAAAAAGAAAAGCAAAGAAACGAAAACAGTGTTGTGACTCCCCGTCCGTGCGCCATCTTTATTGGCTTTGTTGTGATTTGTAGAAAAATGGAGGAAGGTCGTGTTCTTGTCTTGTTCCTGGTAACTTGAGCATGCATTAAATTGTTGTCTTTGTTGTTAAGGAAAATGAATCTATGATTGAAAACTGTCGAGGTGTTGAAAAATTTTAATTGGATGCTGAAATTGTTAAATTTAAATGAATTGTAAATGAATTACATACAACATCTATGTACACCACAATATAAATTATTATTAATTAATCCATGATTTATGAATAATGTTAGTCAAAATTTTAAATTCTTAAAAATATTCATATATTTTTATTTATACTCTCATTAAATACTTTATATAAAAGCTTTGATGAGAGTAATTAAAATTCTAATACATGTTTTTTTCAACAACAAAAAAGTAATAAGTGAAATAAGAGCATAATTAAAAAATAAATAAAATTATTCAACGCCCTACATTATGAAGTGGATATGGTTTCTAGAATATGCTAGTATATAGTATTTTCTTCTTCCAGTTCACTTTCCTTACATAATCACTGCCTTTGTATTACTCGCCTGTAACCTCTGGTTCATCCATGGCAGCTTCTGTGTGTCACTTTAGGTTCGTCCATCGCCCATAAATATGGGTCTTGTTGCTAGTGGTATGATTTGCATCTTGGAGCTTGGATGGCACTCCTATTTTAATTTGCTGGATGAAATTGAAAAGATAGTAAAATTTTGCTAAATATTGTACTCCCTCCATCCCAAATTATAAAATATTTTAAATAAATTCTCACAAATTGATAAATTTCATTAATACACTTAACAACCTTATCTTTCAAAATAAAAATATAAACTTTTCAAAATACCATCATTTATGATATTAAAAAGAAAAGGGATGAAAATTAATTATAGAAAAAGAAAGGATAATATTAAAATTGATACATTTAATGAAATCTTAATCTACTCAAAGTGTCTTATATTTTGGAATGGAAAAAATTCTTTTAAAGTGTCCTATAATTTAAAACAAAGAGAGTATTTGATAAAACATAATAACATTGTACAATTCATGTAATCAATCCCTAAGTGCCCGTTTGGATAAGGGAAAACGCGCATTTTGAACCCAAAATCAATTTTTTCTGTCAATTTATCCAAACAGTCGAAAATGATCAAAAATCGATTAGGGTCAAAACGCGCGTTTTTCCAGAACTCCCTCCGTCCTGCCAAAAGTTTGTCAAAAACGTTGGGAAAAATTACAAAAACAGGCTCAGGAAAAATTACAAAAAAGCACATAATTTAATAAAAATAAAATAAACTCTCTTCTTTTCTTTTTTTTTCCTTAATAAAATTTAAACTTTATATATTTAAAAAATTAATATTTGATATTAAAAATTAAATTATATAGTAATTTATAGTTAAAAATTAAATTTGATTAAATTATCCAATATCTTCAATTCTGTTAAAAATTAATTTTAAAAAAACAGTATCCAAACAGATTACGTTATAATATAATCACTTATGATTAAAATCTATAGCTTATCAATTATTTTCATAATCTATTATACCCAACTGAAATCCAAACGGACCCTAATAAATAAAGCTTGTTGGCTACTGCTGTAGTATTTGCATTTGTTTTTGACGAATTTTTCATTAAATCCAAACAAAGCATATTGAATGGCATCTTGCGGTATATTTTGGTATGTTCCTGTTCTTGAATTTTTTGCCTAATGTTTTTTTGGTTGAAAGGGAGAGGAGAGAGAAAGAAGGAGAGGGGTGATCACCTACGAAACAAGCCCCTTCCCTTGCCTTGTTCCATAGGCTCCTCTCTCTTTATTTGATAAGACAGAGGATCTCCTCCCCTCCCTTACAATCAAACATTATCTAAATGTTCAAGAGTCATTTTATATGTTTCTTTCTGGCAATAAACAATTTGCAATTTTGTCCAAGAAACCATGATAGCTTAACCCCTCTTAACCCAACTAGGTTGACTAGCTCAACCTATATTCAAACGAGCTAAAATGAGTTGGCTACGAGTACCTGTTTTGTTCTATATGAGCGAGCGAGTTACAAGCCCCTCAGGCTAATCTACCTCACCCATTACTTAACCCTATTAAAAATATAATGACCTATTTCTATCCATAATGATCAAAGACTGCCAATAGAAAGTGAAAATCTGAAAACTTCTTCTATCAAGCCCAACCCCTTTGAAACCAATGCTACATGTCTACTTGTAGATTACTAAAAACCCTTTCCAACAAAGAAGGAAAAGGAAACCTCGAAAATTTGT